TGTCACAGTGGTCACCAGACTCTAAGCACCAGCAGGGACAATGATGGGCAGATGATTATTTGGTGAAATTAGGCAGGAGGGGAGGATTTAGCCATCTAAAATTCTGGCAGCTCATTCAAAGTGTTGATCCAAGTGGTTGGACTGCTCTTGGGAGGTTCTCCTCCCTCATTAATGAAAGGAGGAGTCTGTATAATTAGCTGCCTCCCTCTTAGATCACCAAATGTCACTCTTAGAGTCTGAGGTCTTTATCAGCAGATCTCAAGGCAGTTAACTGTTGTTCCCACTGTCCCATGAGACAGCTGAGAGTGACACAGCTGTGGAAGGGACACCAGGTGGGAACTCCTCTGCAGGGCCAAACAGGGACCTCCTGAGTGTCACCCACCCCCTCCACACCTTCCTCCCTGAACTAGAATTGCATCCAGCCTGTGTCTCACTAAGGTGATGCTGGACAGCAAAACAAAACATCCCTGATGCACAACCAGGGTGCTGCAGACCCCCCTCCAACCTGAATGCTGCTGTCATATCACTTTATTCATATTTTTAATTTATGGAATCATCTCCAATCCTCCTTACTCCCTTTATCTTAAAGGAAAGAGCAGTTACTCAATGTCCAGAGGTGCCCCCTTCCACTTTCTCCAAGGACATGAATGATCCATGAGGCCTTATTAATATTCATCCTCTTTGCCATGTTGTTGCAATTACTGAAAGACACAGTGACCTTTGGAAAGGAAGATTTGAGGGGGGTTAATTTCTGTTGGATTTCTTTAATTCTTTTGCCATTTGATTTTTTCAGGAGGAGGGAATAGGGAAGGAGGCAGGGGGAGGAGAAGATGTGGTGGGTCAAAAAGTGATTGTTAATTGCAATTAAGAAAACAGCATCCAGAGAGAAAAAGGATATTCCATCTGATAATTAATATGTAGAGATTGGTAATGCATTAATGAGGCTGATTCAGATCTTGCTACAGAAAGGTGCAACACTTCTGATAATTATGGTTGGAAAAGGCAACTTTGCTAGAAGGTCAGGGAGAGGGGAATGCCTTGTGCCATCACACAGAGGCAAAGAGAGGTAAAATTTGGAGCTTAAAAGTATTCTTGGAGAGGAAATTTGTGGGTGTCCACCTGGGGTTCTGGCTGATTTCTGTCAAAATAAGATTTTGGAGCAGTGAGTAAGGAAGATGGCTGGGCAGGAATTGTTTGCTTTGATACCAAGGGAGGGAGGGGAGGCAGCTCCTTCTAAATCTGGGGATGAGGAGCTAAATAGGAGATCACATTAGAGACACCAATATTTTTATGTTAAGCAGCATGGCATGTCATGGATAAAATATGGGAAAAGCAGTCACATAAGGAACTGGTTACCAAAAGGAACTGGCGCTACCCCCTGAACCAAAGTGTCTGCCAGTGACAGTGACACTTGCCAGGTAGCATGATAAGAGGTAAAGATTATAGAGAGCTGGAAATCAGGGTTTGAACCTCACTCAATTTAATAGTGCAGACATTGACATCACACCTGGCTCAGTGACCTCACACCTGGCTCGTGGTTGCCGAGCCAACCATGCGGACAATGCTTTGAAAAACGCACTTGGTGGCACGTCACAAACAGAATTCCTGAAAACTCCAATGCCAATGTTATAAATATGAATGAGGCCAAACTTTCTCTGGAGAAAGAGGTTCTTGTTTATTAAAATAGCTACAAGGAACGGAGTACCCAGGATAAGCCCAGGCACCCACACAGCAAGCCAAAAACAGAACAGTACACTAACCCCAAGTGCACTGGGTTCTCCCCAGAAAACAAGTTTCCAAAAAGAAGAAATTTGACCCAACTGAACTTCCCTCATTTATAGCCCCCTTTGAGTCCAGGATTGGTCCATTTTGGATCCTTGTAGTGATTGGTCCATTTCCAGGCTTCTCATTGGTCTCTAATGCTGTTCATTCTGGACCAATAGTTTCTGCAGGGCTTCGAATGATGGTCAGATCTTCCATCCAATCCCTCTTTGACCTCGCCTTGGCCCTCCAGACTGCCCTTCCACCAAACCCTGGACCCTTCTCCGAGAACATTCTAATAACCACTCTTAACATAATACAATTAATATAACATAATTAATACAATACAATTGAACTATTACCTAATTTAACATAACTTAACTTTTACTTATAACACCAAGAGCTGCTGAGACACGTGGGGACCCCTGTTTGTGTGTGTCTCTGCAGAAAACATGATCTGCTACACGGGCAGCCCCGACAGCCTCTTAACATAATACAAGTAATATAACATCATTAATACAATATAATGGAACTATACACTGATTTAACATAATTAAATTTTTACTTATAACACCAAGAGCTGCTGAGACACGTGGGGACCCCTGTTTGTGTGTGTCTCTGTAGAAAACATGATCCGCTACACGGGCAGCCCCGACAGCCTCCGCTCGCGCACGCCCATGATCACCCCCGACCTGGAGAGCGGCGTCAAGATGTGGCACCTGGTCAAGAACCACGAGCATGGAGACCAAAAAGAGGGTGACCGAGGCAGCAAGATGGTTTCTGAGATCTACCTGACCAGGTTACTGGCCACCAAGGTATGTGGTGAGGGCAGGGGACAGGGGGGTTTTGAAAGTTTGGTGGAATTTCTTGTCAGAAAGAAGCGAGAGGCCGCTCCAAGGATGCCAAAGCTGGGTAAAAAGAGAAGGGCAGAAGGAAAATAGAGCAAGGGGAGAGTTCTGAGCATGTGGGGAAGGAGCTTGAGCTTTGAAAGCAGAGTCCAAAAAGAGACACTGGAAAAGTCAGGAACTGGTTACCAAAAGGAGTTGGGTAAAAAGCTGGGTAAAAAGAGAGGAACAGAAGGGAAGTAGAGCAAGGGGAGACTTCTGAGCATGTGGAGAAGGAGCTTGAGCTTTGAAAGCAGAGTCCAAAAAGAGACACTGAAAAAGCAAGGAGGAGTAACAATCCAGGGCCATGAGATTGGTGGGGAAAGCACAGCAGGAGGTGCTGGAGTTGTCAATTATAGTGGTTTGTAATTTGTACCAAAATTGAGCAAGTGAAGAGCCAGGGCAGGTGCTCAGAGCAAGCTCCAAAGATGTGTCAGGCCTCACACTCTGAAATGGCTCCTATACCACAAAATCCTGAGTTTTGTGGTAAAAATCCTCCTCCACATTTTCCCTGGGCCAATAAAGACTCTTGTGCTGATATCTTGGAGAGGGTTACATTGACATTACAGTGAGACATGAAAACTCAGCATGCACAGAGAGAAAATACAGATGAAATCAAGCGGGGGCAGAGCAGGGACATCCTGACCTGAGTCTCCAAACACATCCGTAACATTTTCATTTTGGTCAGGTATTAATAGGCACAAACACAATTCCATGTGCTCACACAAATGCTGCCTGAGTTTGTCCATCAGACACATTTCCATCACTAGTTTAAGTCCTATTTTTCAAATTTACCTGCTCATTTATTCCTCAGCTCATTTTGCCTCTGATGTCTGGCTGTCCCTGCAGCCTCACTCAGGCTGGCTGAGCTGCAGAGGGATTTGGAGGAAAGGCAGCTTTGTCTTTAGCCCCTGGTCCATGCCCCATTCCCTGGCATCAGGAGGCTTTTATTGATCACACAGCACGTGAAAAACATTGAAAAAGGAAAGTGTTGCTCCCCAGGGCTCAGGCCCCAGCTGGTGTAGACCAGCAAGCATTGGACTGGTGCTGATTTATGTTATCTGGGGATGCAGCCCCTACCCCACCACTGAACTGCTTTTGCTTTCTGTTCTGGGTCACAAACTCAACACTTGGGTTGGGCTTTTGTGTTGGGTGTTTTTTTAATTGTTGTTCCTTTTTTTGTTTGTTGGGTTGGTTTGGTTTTGAGGTTTTTTTGTTGTTGTTATTTTTGTTGTTGCTGGGGTTTTTTGGGGGTTTTTTTGTATGTGTTTTGTTGTTTTGGGGTTTTTTTTGTTGTTGTTGTTGTTGCTGTTGTTGTTTTTTCATGGAGATACCTGGAAAGCAGCTGTAAAACCTGCACAGCAACAGAAAGAGTAGGAAGGTTGGAGTTTTATTGTTTCCCCTCTTGGGCTGAACAATTTTCTTTTCTCATTGTGGCCGTTTGAGGGAGGGAAGGAGAGAGAGCAGTTGCTATAATACAATCCCCAGGAAGACTTTGTTAAACTGACAATGATTTTTATTCTGGTAAATCCCTGACCTCTGATACCCAAGAGCCTCTCCCCTAAAAGCCTCAAAGGTTTCTGTGGCATTTGTGAGGGTGAGCATGTAAAGAACTAATTCCCTGCAGGAACTGAACCTGCGGGCAGCTCTCCCATGTCAGACCAAGAGGATTTCCCCTCCTGAGCCCTTTCTGAGTCAGATGTGCTGCAGGGCTTTGTTCACCCCGCAGGAGTTCACACAAACAAAAAGGTGCCTCTGTTTGTTTCCCAAAGAATAAATCAGGTGGTGAATCAGCCAGAGACACCAGCTTTCTAATTAAGTGTTTGTTAGCTCTAGGTAAACTTGAGCCACTCTGGTGGAACCCGGGGCTTTGTTTCTAGAAAGGAGACATTTCTTCCCTAGGTCCTTGGAGAAAGGGCAGAGTTTTATCTTGCAGGAGAGGAAATTTTTCATAGCAGGGAATGGTTGTTGGAGATTCAGTTGATTTTTGGTTATTTTAGCAGCTATTTATCCACACATAAATGCTCTGGTGACAGGGAAAACGTGTCCTGCCTGGTTCCACCCCAAACCCAGCCTAGAACTCCTCAGCTGTCCCCTTCTCCAAGCCTGGCCACCCTCACATATTCCAGCTCCTCTCCTTCCTGTTAAAAGTCAATTGTCCTCGCAAGAGTGACTCTCCAAGCCCTCAGTTTGGGATTCCCCTGCCAGTGGGGAATAAAAGATGAGGAGGCCTCTTGGGAATGAAGTTTGTGTAGTTTAGGATGCTGGTCACACATTAACCACCCACCTCTCTAGGTTCTCTTGTCCTTTTTGTCTCTGTGACACCTTCTACAGACTTCTCTTCCCAGTTTAGATGGCCCTGGGTAAAAGCCAGCCTGGAAAATGGCTGGGTTTTGTCTGATGGATGCGCTAAAGCATTGAGGATGGGATGCAGAGAGAGGAATTCATGTGGAAATGATGTGTAATGGTTCTTGTGATGATGAACATTCCTGCTTAAAGACATTTGTATTGAAATTCTCAGGTCATGTCACATTTAACTGATAGAGAGCCCTCAATTTTCTATCACACATTGGTTTATCCGCAGACATACCCTGTGTCAGTGGGGTACCAAAATTCAACGTCCTCTGCACACTTGTACCTCATGCTCTTCTTTCCTTCCTTCCTTCTTCCACCAGGGCACCCTGCAGAAATTCGTGGACGACCTCTTTGAGACCATCTTCAGCACTGCCCACCGTGGCAGTGCCCTCCCCCTGGCCATCAAGTACATGTTTGATTTCCTGGATGAGCAGGCAGACAAGCACAACATCCACGACCCCCACGTGCGGCACACCTGGAAAAGCAACTGGTGAGTGAGTGAGACAGCCCAGCACAGCCCAGCATGGGTACTGGGCTGGAAGGGGACCAGAGGGAAGTGTCTTTGGGATCTGGCTGCTGGAAGAGCTGAGGAAACTGGTGTGGGGCTCAAAGGATGAGGCTCAGTCTGGCCAAGCCCATGGAGAAGTCGGAAGATCCCAAAATCTAAAGGATCAGCATTTTTTGGCTAAACAGGTCCTAGTTTGCCCTGTATTACATGGAAATTGAAGGATTTGTGAGGGATTTGATGAGGAAAAATTAAGTTTTTAATTGCTGCAGTGCCCAAGCTCTGCACAGGAATATACAGAATATGCCCAGGCTCACATAGGAATATCTCGGGAGGCATGGGAGATAATTCAACACCACTGCCTTCATCTGCACTGGGTGTTTTAATTCCCAGCTCTATCTGTTTGCCGACACAGAGGTATCTCATACCAACTGAGAATTTTAAGGTTCCCAAGACATCCTCAGAGGATGTGGAGCGCCCACAGGAGATTTGTACCCTCCTGGGTAGAGGCCAGGAAAGCATCTCCAATGGTGCAAGGTATTTAAAGGGTCTGGAGCTGGATGTGAGTGTTCTTTGGAGTGAGTAACAAAGGGTGACATCAGTGGCAAAGTGTGACATCAGGGACAATGTGTGACATCAGCCCCCTGCTGCATAGGAATATGCAGAAGATGCCAGAATATGCCCAGGCTCATATAGGAATATTTAGGGAAGAATGGGAGAGTATTCAACACCACTGGCTTCATGTGCACTGGGTGTTTTAATTCCCAGCCCTATTTGTTTGCCCACACATGGAGCTGGATGTGAGTGTTCTTTGGAGTGAGTAACAAAGGGTGACATCAGTGGCAAAGTGTGACATCAGGGACAAAGTGTGACATCAGCCCCCTGCTCCAGCTCTTCATCCCTGCAATGGGACAGTGGGAAAAGCCAGGATCAGTGGAAAAAAATCTCCTTTCTGCTGAGTCTCCCAGTTTGAAAGAGCTCCCTGGGGAATGGCTCCCTCCCCTTCTCCTGTGCAAACACAGGGACTATAAAAGGAGCAGGAGAGGAGAGCCGTGGGGCTCCCAGATCATGCATTTTTTTCCTTTTCCCAGCCATGCAGTTGGCAGATCGTCACAGCGCCGGTGACATAAAAAAAGAAACCCCATGCACCAAAGAGGCTTTCAACTAATGAAACATTAGCATATTATTAACATTATCTGCGGCGCTAATCTAAGGCTGATTGCAGCCACTCAGCCTAAATGAGCAGGAGGTTTATTTAAGGGGGGAGGGGGGAAGGCAGAGCGTGTGTGTTTGTGGGAAAAGGGGCAGTGTGAAGAAATCTGTTCAATCAGATCAAATTAACTCAAAGCCACATCACAGGGCTCCTTTATTCCCAGCCAGGGACATCATCCCCTGTCCCCTCCCCATAGCCAGGCACACAAACACACACTCTGCTCCTCACCAAACACCTGCACAAGGCCTTCTGCAAGGTTCACCCATCCACCTCATCCCCCCAGTGATGATTCTCCATTCCCAGCTTAAATTCCCACAACTCCATCATGTCTCATTGACATTTTTTACTTATTCTTCCCTGAGACCCTGTGGAACAAGCTGTCCAGAAAAGCTGTGGCTGCCTCATCCCTGGATTGTTCAAATCCAGTTTGGATGGAGCTTGGAGCAACCTGGGATAGTGGAAGCTGTCCCTACACCTGTATAATCTTTAAGGCCTCTTCCCACCCAAAGGACTCTATAATTCTGTGTTTTCCAGCATCTCCCTCTTCTCCTGAACTTGGCTGACCAGATTCCCTTTGTGGGGCTTTCCTTACATTTGTTCTGTAATTTTGCTGCTCAGGAGAACACACAGAGGTTCAGGAAAACACAGTGTCAGGAAAGTTGTTACCCAAAATCCATCAGGCTCAGGGATGAGTTTTTTACAGTGTTGTGAATGCAATCAGCAAATGGGAGGAACTGGGGAGTTTGTTCTGAATTTCAGGAGAATTTTTTAAGCTGAAAGATGCAGAGAGTGAGGGTAGATTTAGCAATCTGCCTGAGAGAGAGAGACGGGCTGGGCTCTGTGCTCAGTGACACATCCCAGCTCCTGGGCCTGATCACTGCAATGCATCTGCCCTGACAAAAGGCTCCAGGCAAAGGCTGGAGGTACCTCATACATGTACCTCAGGGCATCTCATACAAATGAGCTGCTCTTTGGAGAAAAAGGGGGAAAAGGGCTTTGGGTTGCAACTGGAATAGCTTTTCCTTGGTTAGGGCAGATATATTTTCATATCAAAGGCTGTGGTACTGGTTTCCCTGTTCCTTTTCTTTTTTTTTTCCTTGAGGCAATGGGGCTTTCCCTGTCATGTAGAAACTGCTTCCTGCTTCGGGGTACTGGGATTGTGTGCAGGCTTGGGCTGGAGCAGCAGAGAGTGACAGGACATGGTGACCTACAGGTGTGCCATGAGCATTCTCAGTCTCCACCTGGGAGCTCTGCTTGCCTCTCTTCCCATGGGATTGCTGTGAGGGCTAAAAGCCAAGTCCCTCAATGACAAAGGTGTAGAATCCCAGAATGGTTTGGGTTGGAAGGGACCTTAAACTCATCAAGTGCCACCTCCACCATGGCAGGGTCACCTTCCACTATCCCAAGTTGCTCCAAGCCCTGTCCAAGCTGTTCTTGGACACTTCCAGGGATCCAGGGGCAGCCACAATTTCTTTGAGCAGCCTGTCCCAGTGCTTCATAACCCACACCATAATAATTTCTGTCGGTTCAATGTCTCTCTTCATCTGATGGAGCAACCAACAGGGTCAACTTTCCATTGCCACTTAACACAGAGAGATTCAGAGTGTTTGTCATCATCACCCAGATTTTACTCCCATTAATTTATGGGCACCTTCAACAAGATTGTATTAAGACTGAAAAAAATCTGCCTTGTTTTGTAAGGACAAAATGCGATGTCTCTACTTTCCCTAGACTTCGTAAGGGAGGAATTCATAGCATAGCAAAGTTTATCCCAGAATCTTCATATCCAGATTCAGAGTGTTTGTCATCACCTAAATTTTACTCCCATTAATTTATGGGTGCCTTCAACAAGATTGCATTGACTCTAAGACTCACAAAATCTGCCTTGTAAGGGTTACAGGGACAAAAGGTGATGTCTCTACCATCCCTAGACTTGGTAGGGGAGGGATTCATTTCGTAGCAATGTTTATCCCAGAATCTTCATATCCAGATCCAGAGTCTTTGTCATCATCACCTAAATTTTACTCCCATTAATTTATGGGTGCCTTCAAGTAAGATTGCACTGACTCTAAGACTCACAAAATCTGTCTTGTAAGGATTGCAGGGACAAAAGGTGATTCCTAGACTTTGTAGGGGAGGGATTCATTGCATAGAAAAGTTTATCCCAGAATCTCCATATCCACAGCCTGATCTTTGATCCCCACCCTCCATTTGCTGCTGTGGTGTCTCCTGTGAGCTGTGCCCTGACTGCGTCCCCTCTGCCACCTCTTCTGCAGCCTCCCCTTGCGGTTCTGGGTCAACATGATCAAGAACCCCCAGTTTGTGTTCGACATTCACAAAAACAGCATCACAGACGCCTGCCTGTCCGTGGTGGCTCAGACCTTCATGGACTCCTGCTCCACCTCAGAGCACCGCCTGGGCAAAGACTCCCCCTCCAACAAGCTCCTCTACGCCAAGGACATCCCCAGCTACAAGAACTGGGTGGAAAGGTGAGTTTCAGTTATGCAATGATGTCTATTCTTTATCTTTTTTTTCTGCCTGGGTCAGGGTTGGGATTAAATGCGCAGAGAGGGAATTTCGTGTTCGTACTCAGATGCTGATTAATTCTTATCTATGTTACAGTCTCACGAGCTGTGAGTTCTACAGTACTTTAACAAGATACAAAATGGTCCCATATCTATCTCTACAAGGCCTTTTAAGGATTATTAAAAATTTAAAAAATTACACCTAAATTGTTTTTACTTTTAACTCAGTAACTAACCACCCATGCCCGCAATATGGATTTTTTTTATCCAATGACACAAAACCACCCAAACCCATGGAGAAGAAGGTGAAGAAGAAGGACCAACCACTACCCTAAACCCTCCATCTTGTTTTATATATATTATTATATTCTAAACCCTTAAACTCTGAGTTTCCCACCCTGTGATATCACACACTTTGTTCAAGCTGCACACCCACAATCCCAGTGCTATCATTGAATTTTGGAAGCTTCTCCAGGCCTCAGGTCAGTGCAGGGTTCTCTTGGGGGTCAGTGCCTGCAGCACAGCAAGTCTGAAATTCTCAGCACCCAGGGTTCCAACAGAATGACATAAAGTGACACAACCAAGCTCTGCTTTGTGGGTGGAGGTAGGAGGCAGCATCACTATTGCTTTTGGAAACTGCCCTTGGGGCTTTTTTGTCTCAAGCTTTTGCTAAGTGGAAATCTCTACATTAGCCTTGTGCCTTGCAGCAGAGATGGAAATTTAGTTAATGGTGGGAGTTGAAGGTGTTTGCCATCATTATTTCCTTTGAGGAGAAACTCTTGAGAAGTGGCAGAGGGAGGAAGGAAGGGGAGGTGATGTGTGTGAACCCTGGGAAGCACACAGACTTCTCAGCCTTTCCACACAGGCCTGGAGTGGTTTGCTGCTCTCAGCACCATTGAGACAGTCCCCACACTGTCTGCATCCCAAGGGATTTATAATTATCCCCCAGCAACTTCCCTTAGAGGTTCTTTGCCTTGAGTGAGATGCCAGACAATTGACAGGCTGCTGACTGAAGCTCTGCAGGTATTTTATGTCAGGTCAGAGGTCTTTCCAAGCATTTTGTCCACACTCCCAAGACCTGTGGCTGTACTTCCATCTGCTGTACCAAGGGTCAGTGCCTGGCAAAGCTGCTCCACAGGGAACACAAGCAGAACATCTATTCCTGCAGCATGTTGGGGCCTCATTTTCCATAGGGTTTCCCCCAGGACAAGCAAACAGCACATCCTGTTCTTCATCCAGCAGGAGCTGGGCTTTGCTTTCCAATATTCTGCACTTGCCTGGCGTTATTGACAGGTTTGGGAACTGCACAGATGGGGAACAGTTGCTGCTCTGTAAATACAAAGGCGGGTTTATCCTACAGATCATTCCTGCGCACTGCATCCAGCTTCCAGCCTTGATTTACTCTGGATGACTTCCCAGGCATGGCCTAAAATTGACACCATGTCCTGCAGGCTGTACAAAGCCACTGCTGCTGCAGACACCTCACACTGGGCTATAAATCCCTGTATTGCCTTTGCTGGGGATGGTTTTCTCTCATTTTGTGACAGGAGTGTGGCTGATCAAAGAGCTCCATCCCCTACTCGGCACGAGGCAGCTTTTTTTCCCAACAATTCTCCCATTGGTCTGTGATTTGTCTGGACAATTATTTTTAGACGTGGTTAAACACTTCAGCAAATGTCGTTTCTAGGCAACCTGCAAGGCTCTTATGAGCTACCTTGCTTAATTATGACCTACTTTTGGTACCGTGTCCAAGTTTCTTAGAACGTATTGAGGCTGATTGCTGGATTGACCTGGATAATGGGAAACAAGTGTTGGAGGTTCCATTTAGAAATCGAGTTTGCACCAACAGTGACCCAAAGGTGTCATTCTCTAGTGATGCTTTAGCTACACTCTGTGTGGTTGGACTGTTTCTGTAGACAAATAATGGTTTTCATCTCAAAGGGGTTGATTTTATTCTTGGAGATGCTACATGTGAGTGACAAACTGAGGTATTTAAGTGGAGAATGGGATATTTCCTGATCCAACAAACACTTTTTTTTCCCTTTTCTCTTTTTCCTCTGGATAAACAAAAAGCTGCAGTTTCCATTTTGTTTTATTTTTTTCCAGTATTGATTTCACTTTACAATTTTTTTGAGCTAAATCCTGGTGCCCAGTGATCTTCAGCAATAGGTGCTGCATTTCCTTGGAAGTTTTCCCAAACAACTGGGTTTGCAAACGAGGTACATAACACCTCCTGCTGCTTGTAAACAGCCCTGGATTCCTGTCCCCAGCATGTGCTGGGTTGTTATCTGCACTGATGTCTGACAACTTGAACTGAAGCCCAAGGGGAGACTGCAGGTTTTGGAATATGGTTAGAGCTTCCTCCCTGCTTTTATTTTTGTGTGTCAGTTCCACTGACTCAAGGCAGTGGCACCTGGATGCTGTGGGAGATGAAAGAAAAAACCTATCAGGGATGAATAAAATATAATTTGAGTTCTACCCTGAGCTAATGAATTCCTTCTCTCCGTTCTGCGATTGTGCTTTGAGGGAGTTTTTTCCAAATCCAAAGGCTTCCAGTGCTGGTTGGAGCTATTTCTGTAGTCAGCATCAGCTGGAGATGGCATCCTTCAAGACCACTAGACTTCTTCAAAGAGTGAATCAGGAGATAAAAAGTCAGGGAGTTTAAGAAGTGGTTGAGTAAGTCAGAAAAACCTGAAATCAAACAAACTTCTTTGAGAAAGAGGAAACTCTAAGAGGGTTAATTAGTCAGTGGTAGATTGTACGCAACTTGAGGCACTCTGGATTAAAACATGACTGGATTTAGAGGTCTGGAAATGGAGCTGAGCTGGGTTACTCCAAGCCATCCCTTTTTCCTTTCC